CATCATCTCTGTCAATCTGGAGATTGGGAATTTGTGTGGGGAAGGCGGGGCTGCTGATGGTGGTGGGCGAGGAGGTGATGGCTTGGTTGTGGTGCTGGAGCGAGATGACGGAGTGGTGGCTGGTGACCCGTTGGTACTCGTGATCGTCGGCTGCAGTTGTAGAGGAACGAAACTCCTCGAGCTCATCTCGTTCGTAGCCCGCCGAGGAAGAGAGGGGGGATGAGGTGAACGGGTTGGTCGCCATTTCGTCCCTAAATCGAGCAATCTCTGCCGCGGAGGTGGAGAGATTCAACGATTTGGATTTGGGGTGCTCCAGGTGCTCTCTGCACTTGTGGTTGGTGTTGTGCTGTGGCCTCTGCGGCTGATCCGCCTCTTCTTGCTATGCTGCACGCTGCAGGTCACCACGCGCCGGACTCGCCTGCAGCGGCCAGTCGACTACTCACAGTTGCGCTGTTGCAGTTGCGAGCTCGTTCCTTTCGTTCTTCTTCGCCGCACTACCCAGAATGTTCGCAGTCGACACAAACTCCCTGCCCGGCAACCTGCGCGACGTGGCACGCTCAAAACACCTCAAAAGGACTAATTTTCTCTGTTCTTTCTTCGTAGTTGCATTTTTCGTTGTTTGCAGCCTTTTTGGCCTATTAAAATTGCTTTTTGCAACATGTGGGAGTAGGGCCAAAAAATAGCTAAAAAGAGCTCTTTTTTGGTCGTGAATTGCAGAGGGCACCTCCTCTGGGTCCCTGCGAGGCCGCTTCCACTCGGCCGTCGCATGGAATCCACGTGGCACTCACAGAGTGCCGTCGACGATGGTGGTGTTCGGAGGCAAGCGCAACGGCTACTTCAACGACGTGGGCGATCGATATTGGTACAAACGTGTTGTGTGAGTGCAAGCGAGTCAGAAGAGTTTCAGTTTCGTGCGTGTGTGTGTGCGTGTGCGGTGCGGCATGTGTGCTGTGCAGGCAAGAACGAGTGGCAGGAGCTGATTCCCATAAGCGGAGCACCTTCGATGTACGCGGTGGTTAGAGGCGACGAACGGTGTGGTTATTTGGCGGTTACAGACAGCAGCGACTCCATTGTCAAGCAATCTGGCGCTTCCGCCTGGGTACAACCTGCACCGCCAACGCACCACATGATACACGACAGCACGCACAGCACAGCAGAACTGACATCAAAGGCCAAACCGGCGAAGACCTGGAGCGAGGTGTCATGTGTGAGCAAGAAGGGCCAACCACCGGCCCGGTTTCAACACACTGCGGTGCTCTCGGCCGTGATTGACTTGTGCTTGCCTGTTGTATCCGACTCGACGTCACCAAACACTTGTCTCACTGATAGAGAACTTGAATGGGATTCACGAGGGACTGTGGGCGATGGTCTCCATTTCCACGCTGGCGCCTGGGCGGGATCGCACAAACTGGTCACGCTTGGTGGTCTGCGACGGGCAGTCAAGCACAGCCGACACATTCCAATGCCGTACCGGTAACTCATCCGCGTTTGCCTGCGATCAGGAACTAATGTGCGTTTAGGCTGATGTATGCGCGTCGTGCCAATCAGAGTCGTTGAACACGGCCAAGCGCAGCGGCGAATACCTTAGCGCCGGCGGGAGCGGCCATCATCTGCCGGACGAAGTGATGATGCTCATCATTTCCTACAAGACCGGCACTGACCTCACGGGCGTGTCTTGTCTGCAAGAGGTTCGTTTACGTTCAGCATACTTGCGCTCACAGTGCGCTTCGAGAGCGTTTTGGGCACAGCCCACGCACTCACGCAGGTGGGCCAGCAGGATATCATCCGGACTTGGAACCACCGACAGACATGTTGGCGACAGAGGGACGGCCGCGCTTTTGCCAGGCGATCACCGTTACGAAGGAGTGAATGAACATACCCAGATGGCGTCCTTCTGAGAGGCGCAGGCCTGATCAATGTGTACAGCCTGGTTCTCCTCGACGAGGACAACAGAGGGGCGCCCTGACCGCGGTCAACGACCTGTGATACACGTGGGAATGTGGCGACGACAACATGAGACCTATGGCACATGACAGAGGCCGATCTCTGCGCCAGGCCACGCGCACGCGTGACAACCTAGTCCGCGTCAACGTACTTGGGAGAGAGATTGACGTGAAGCACGCGGAACTTGTCACCGAGGGTAAAGGTGCGCTGCCGTCGGCAGCAGCCTCGAGAGCCGCCTGCAGCGCGGCCACCTGCGTCTCAACTACATGGATGTGATGGGCACGTCACGTCACGCCCAAGAGAACACGGGCCTCACAATCACCAGGGAAATGGTGGAGAGCGAAGCGATTGGGGGGGGGGTACAGAGGGGGCGGGTGAGGGCGTCGTTGAAGAGGACGAGGTACTCGCCCTCGATACGGTGCGAGGCATCCTCGGCGACGTGGAGTGGGGCCAACACTTCATTTATTTATATAAATGAGGATCAGAGCAAGGAGTAGATGACAGGAGCACGACGTCGTGTTGAGAAGTTAGTTCACAGTTTACAGTTCAGCTGAGCTCAGGACTGCCGCTCCTGAATGGTGATGAAGGTTGAGCGTGGAATGGGCTGGAGAGAAGGGCGCATACGGTCGCGGATGGCCAGGGTGGAGAGGGCAGAGAGGAAGAGGAGGGCAAGCACAGCCTGCTTCATGGCGTGTGTGTCTCCGGCTTTCTATCCTGATTTCTTTCTCCTCTTCTCCTCCGGCTTCAGCTGTCCGCTCTGTCCTGGCTTCCTCCCGACAATCGCCTGCCCACCAATCACCGTTTAAGTGTTTCTTTCGCTATTTCCTTTTATTTTTGGGCGTTACTTTTTTACCGAGCCATTGGGCTGCGGCCAAGAGCCTCAATCGTGGGACTACCCTGTCGAGAATCGTACTTCATCAACTGCGACGCTTCGTCAAAGAAGAAAATCAGGTATCTCATCACCTCACCGTGTGTGCGTGTGTGGGTGTTGTGTGTGCTTCTTCGAAGATAATCACACCCGATCGGTTGCGTCCGCTGAGCTACGTCGGTTCACAGGCCCTCCTGATGTGCTTGGACTTCTGCCATCCCGCCACGCTCGGGCATCCGCGACATCGTACTCGACACGCACACGCACCACTGCAAACATGTGGGGTCAGTGGGCGCTGGAGTACTATCGGGCTGAGGATAGATGATCTATGGTGGGCACCAAGATGCACCTGCTGTCGGGCGCCACGTGGAAAACGCCAGAGCGCGCTTGCCCAGCTTGCCGCAGAGGGCACCCGTCCAGTGACAGAAGAAGAAGTGACCCGCCCATCTTTACTTCGTTTTTTGCTCTTCAGATCTTCGCTTTCGCTTTCGTCCTTTTTTTGTGTTGCGACCCAGGCACTGGCGGTTGCGCAGGAGATTGGCGCAGCGTGCTTCATCCCATGCTCAGCCCGCACACTGGAAAACGTGACGGAGCTGCTGCACGAGGTCATCAACGTCGCTGTCAAGTTCAACTCCCACTCGCTGGCACTCAAGCCCGAATCTTCTTCGTGCCTTCTCAGCTGATATGTTGAGCAAACAACACTCCTTCACTTTGTACACAAAGTGGTGCGTGCGGCACGGCGGAGGTCATCACGGGGCGTTGGTGTGGTGTGCGCCTCGTCTGCGTCGTCTCTTCGGCGGCGGCGAGAGACGAGTGAGCGCGAGGTGGTTGTGATCGTTGGAGAAGGCCTCATCTTCTTCGTCGGCGCACGCCCGAGGAACCGGTGAGGAAAGGCGGTCGCATCTCTCCTTCGCTCTCTTGAGGCCCGGCGCAGGTAGTCGACCTGCTGCTGGCCCTCCGGCTCCGATTGACCTTCTTCGTCTTCGTCGTCTTCTTCGTCTTCACTGTCTTCTTCGTCTTCGTCATTGTCTTCTTTGATTGCAGGGGGCACTCATCGTGGTC